CCCCCCCCCCCCCCCCCCCCCCCCCTCCTCTACCAGGGCCCCACAACCGGCTTGGCTGAGTACACGCAGAAGTGGTCGTGTTGTGACGGTCTTGTTAAAGCTGCACCATCACAATGAAGCGTGAGGACGCCTACAAATAGTACGCTTATGTGTAGGCACCCAGACGATTGCAAAAACACGATCTCGTAACCCCCTTTTCTTACCACTTTTTGAAGCCTTACATTTCCTAAAATTGGCGATTATTTCGCTTTCTCTGCCATTTCTCCGCTATTCTACATCGTAACTTCCACTATTTCGCTTAGGCTACTAGTAGCCATAGGTACTTCAACATCAACGTGGTAAAATTTACTCGAACTCTCGAAGTGCGCATAACGTGCTAGTAAGATTACGTCAATGTGCGTTTATTTGCTTCTGCACTGTCTGAAATGATCAAAGTCGTTTGTGCCTACTTAATCAAACTTCGGCGTAACCCTACCGAAGTTCGATATTATCAGGTTGATCAGAAAGTTTTGATGGGGTTGAGATTTTTTCTCTGTTTCATTCTATAACTCTGCAAACAATGCAAGTAATCAACAATATAATAATATTCCATAGTTATAACATTGCCCCAACTAAGGGGCAGATCAGCGACTCTCTTCGCTCAGAAGTGAGAAGATCGGTAGTCTACAAGAAGAAGTCACCGACCACTTGTTCAAGGTGGTAATACGAATTGACGAATTGTTTTTTGCTAGGAAAGCCTCGAGGAGTAAGTTGTAATCTGAGGGACAATATCAGATGAACAGAGTGGATGTGGGGCCGTGTTCCAGCCTAGCTCCTCCAATTTTTCACGGGCTTCTTTACCTATGGGAAGCTCAGCGTTGTTATAGAGGAGGTCACAAAAATGGGACTAGGCCGTTTTCTCGAACGGTTTCCGCAAGTTTCTGCAGCTGACCAGCGCAATAGGGAGCGGTGACGATGTGGCTTTGCTTGAGCCGTTCGTAGTACAGCATTCCTTCTGAATCTCAGAAGCAGCAAAGGAGAAATCTCTTGGAAGGCTGTTCTCTTTGCGGGGACCAGACGGCGCGGTGATGGCTAGCGTCGTAGAGGATCCAGTATCGAGTAACTAGGTTCTCCGAAACTCCTTGCGGTGTTGGTGAAGAATAGACTGACAAAGGATACCTAGGTGTAGCGCATGCCCCTCTGAGGCTGAAATTTTGTCCATAAGGCGCCAACCTTGTGAGAATTTCGTGAAGCGTACTGCGGAGAAATAATAGCAGTCAACAAAACATTAAGTGAAAACAAGTACTAACATGTAAAGCTTACAGCTTACGGTACTGTGCTGATATTGGCCGACCGGCTCAACACGTTAGGTGCTGATAAGCTATGGCGAAAAAACCATTAAGAAGGCGAGGGCAAACGGGGTTCCGGTAGTGTAAGGAATAGAGCACGATGCCCGGAAAGCTCAAGTAAGAGTTCGAGTCCCATTCGAAAAGCTCCGACTTATACATCGGAGGGCCGCTGCAAGTCATTCTATAGGCCACATACTCATTCAATACGCCACTACGATTCTCAATGAACACGATTGCGTGTGCGCATCCCGCAGCCGTGCTTGATTAATGCCCAAGACATTAACCTTTATCCCTCTAATGACAAAAGATATAACCAAAAAAGTGTTTCGCCGGACACTTTTGAGGGCTGCTGTATTTAATTCCATAAGTACCTTGTAAGTAACAAAGCTTCATCGGTATATCTGGCTAACTTGAGTCAAGCTAGCTAGTAAAGCTCCATCTCTTCAGTGATTTTCTCTTTTAATGGAATAAACTAGTCTGTGAACCAATTGTGCGAGTTCCAGGTTGCCGAGCTGGTGTGTGCTTGCACAGCTGTCGTGTGTTGTCGGTGTTCACCTGAACAGAAAGCGCAGATTGTGCAGCTTCTTCGGAAGTACCGCTCTCCACTTCGAGTTGCAGCGATTGGCGACGGAGGAAATGATGTAAGCATGATACAGGCTGCACATGCTGGAATTGGAATAGATGCTAATGAAGGTTAACAGTGTTTTTAATCTTTTTGAACGTATTTTCGAGATTCTCATTTGAACAATTCCTAACATGTGGTTTAGGAAAACAAGCCTCTCTAGCTGCTGATTTCTCGATAACTCAGTTCTCCCATGTATGTCGGCTTCTTCTTGTTCATGGCAGATTTTGCTACAAACGATCGTGTGCACTGTCGCAATTCGTCATGCACAGGTCAGCCTAGTTCGATTTTCTACTTTCGCTTTTATCGTTTCTGGAAAAAGCTTTTTTTGAAATGGTGTATTTGGGTCTACCCCAGACTGTTGCAGAGGACTCATAATTTCGACAATGCAGGCTATATTTTCTTGTGTATTCTATTTCGCATCTGTCTCGCTATATCAAGGAGTGTTGATGGTCGCGTAAGTTTCAACATTTTCCACTTTCTCTCCTTATCAAAGGGCATCTATATTCGAGTTTGAATAGTTTGAACAGCCTTTTCTCGATCTTTGTTTTTCCAGTTATTCTACCGCGTATACTATGCTTCCGGTGTTCTCCTTGGTTGTTGATCGCGATGTCACTGCAACGAATGCACTCACGTATCCTGAGTTGTACAAGGAACTAGGAAAGGGTCGATCGTTGTCTTACAAAACATTTTGCATATGGGTCATGATCAGCCTGTATCAAGGTGAGTTTCCTCAATATGTTAGATCATTCAAAGTCCCTTCATTTTGTGCCGTTTAAGGAGCCGTTATAATGTATGGAGCTCTGCTAGTCTTTGATGCAGACTTTATTCATGTCGTTTCGATTTCCTTCTCTGCATTAATCGTTACGGAACTAATAATGGTCGCAATGACAGTCCATACTTGGCATTGGGCTATGTTACTCGCTCAGGTACCAACTCTTCGGAAACCTCTTTTGAAATTTTGAACATGCCATTTCATTCAGGCCTTATCGCTGGCATTGTACGCTGTTTCGCTTATTGTACTTGACCAGTATTTCGACCGACAATTCGTACTTTCATGGATATTTATTTCGAAGACGACGGCTATTACAGCAGTGTCTTGCTTACCTTTATATGTTGTTAAAGCTCTTCGCAGAAAGTTTTCGCCTCCGTCATACGCTAAAGTGAATTAATGATCGCTGTTCAAAATAGCCGGCAAAGGTATGCTGTGAAACCCATTCTTTCACAAAAGACTCAGTAGAACCACTGTATGATGGCACTGACTATATACGCCGTTGTTCCACGCCCCTTTCTCGTACAAGTCTACTTTTTACTGCTCTCGGAAAAAATTTTTTGCATGAAGGTGTGTGATGGACGCGAAATAACACATCCGAGGACAATCCTATGCAATTTGTTGTGTAGGTTAATCAACTGTAACGAAGTAGGCTCATTTTCATTCGTTTTTCAGACCGGTTATTGTTTAGAATTTTTCTTTTTTCACTTTGGCAACTGATCAATGTTAGAAGACCCCTTGGATAACTATTGCATGCTTGCTTCTGCCTCTTTGATGTTTGTTTGTTGAACTTCATTGCCGCTATTGGTTCATCGATTAATCTTTTTTTGGAAAACCAAAAGCTATCGGCTCAATTAGTCTTGCAGAAGCGTCAACCCTTTTCATATCCTTCACCGAAGAAAACCTAACTGGTAAGATGTGCCTCTTGTATCAAATTCCAGCGTTGCATTGTATGAGCCACCTTGTGTTGTTACCATACTCAGCAGTCCTATCTTTAAAAAATGCTTCTATCGGCGGCACTGACAGAAACTTAATCTCATCTGAATAGGTTCCTGTTATTCTGTGTAGTCACTAATGTTTTGAGCTGGGCATGTAAGGCTTTCTTCTACTGCGGTAGAAACAAGCTTTCATTGATCGCTACACTAATTTCTGCTTCAGTGCTCATGGGATCCTTTGTAGATGGTGTTATCATGCCAACATGCCGTTGATCATTTGGCGTTTTCTTTTCAAATGCATCAACTATGTGTATTCTGAAAATCGTTCCATTCGGGTGATGTTATGCGTAGTTTCACTATATAGAGGAAATATAATATGTCTAATGTACATTCAATTGTGGTTGGGTGATAATTCTATTAGCTTTAGACATTATTTTTGTGTTGTGTCTGTGATTTCGCTTGTGACTTCATCTCACATTTTTATTCGAATCTTGTTCCCATTTGAGAAACAAATTCTTTGTTTACAGTTTTCTGTAGGATGGGTAATGACCTAACTGTGCAATTAAACTAACTTTTGTTGCGTGCCCATTTGCCAGAATTTTCATCCTTGAAGCAGTTTCTCTGACAGTGACGTAATAAAGATAATATGCTATCGCTTTCTTTAATTTTGCAGGTTGCAAGCCTATGTTTGGTACTTTATGTTCTATATATTACACTGTTATTGATGGTAGATTGGAAACAGTCAATTTTCTCGATCTTGACAGTTGTACCTTGTTTGCCGAGTTCAACTTTTACCATGAGTCCCTTATTACATCGGGTTTCTCCTTATATCGCTTTTACATGAAATACTGCGAAAAATGTCAAGTGACAGGACCGTCCAGTTGAAAGCTGGACAAGATAGCTTAGGTTGTATACTGCAATACTCACACTTCGAAGTTTTCTAATCTCTGAGCGCTAGCATTCTCATTAAAAATTTCGGTAGAATGTGATAAAACCTCTTGGTTATGTAGGTCATCCCTGAGTTTTTCGATTGGAGTGCAGTATTTTCCGCTTCGACATGGACATATTGGCTGTTCAGAGTTCAACGACGCAACCGGCGAGCGCGCGACAGATCGACGGCGACGCTAGACGTCGATCTGACGCGTCTTGTTGACAACATTGGCGCGTAATCCATCGGCGTTCAGAGTTGTCAACACATAGCCAGCAACACGTCGGTCGGACGCGCCCTTGTCTGTTGCGTCGTTGAAGTCTGAAGGCAGATATTGGTTGCCGTAGCCCACTGAAGGTGGCAATGTCTTAGCATTATTTTAGAGCACATTAGGTAAGCTCATGCCCATGACTACAATCCTATTGAACTGAATCAAAGCATTCTGCAAAACGTCAAATCACTAACGCATTTCGGTTTAGAGCTAAATAAAATCGCTTTGACAACACCGCATGAAAGACAATCTTTCTCGATTATTAAACAACAATCTCCTTAGCGCACGGTTATGTATTTTAGTTGAGTCATGTCAAAGTCACGGTGAGAAAGGGAGTATGAAGAATGAAAGAGAAGAATTCGCAAGTCCAGTACGGGTTAGGACTTAGTAAATTGGTATTTATCGTATGGGCTCATCTCGGCGTGGCCAGAAGCCAGAAGACCTATATACTCTTACCATTCATAAATTTATTCGGAGGTGACAAGTATTACTGTTACTAACACTTCTATATTAAGGAGGTGTTTCTCCGATGGGAGTCTGTTTGACTGTCGCCTGCTATCTCATCACATTCTCTCCCTCGGCAGCGCTGTTTTGTCGGTTCATTGCTAAGGATTCGCTTCGAATCATTCTCTTCGTTTTAGGGTATGTTAATTAATTTCGTGAGATAGGAGTATAGGTCTATCATAGTGGTATAGACCTAACACTTCTCTTATAATAATAAATTTCCAGGGCTTTCCTCTGGCTAGCTTCCTTGCTTCTATGTTCTTTTATCTGGTTAGCCTTGTCAATGATCTGGGATGCCCTTCCGCTAGCTGTAGCATGTTCCATTCTTTTGCAAGATGCTGCCCGAGTTTTCTACTTCTGGCTACTGAAGAAAGCGCAAAGGTCTGTTTAGTCATGTTAGTCGGTTATAACCTTTTGTAATAAGCTAACTGATTTTGAACAGATAGTCTTTTTGAAAGGTTAATTAGGCGCGACCGTAGAAATTTAGTTGTTTTGAAAGATTAATTAGGCGCGACCGTAGAAATTTTTGCACTCCGTCTAGAACATTGATTATTTGTCGATATCTATGATGCATCACAGAATAGTTATGAACTTCTCGAGCATTTCCCGTAAATGATTTTAAAATTACAACTACCACTGGTGATACTATGAAAGTGAGTACCATAGCTGGGTAAAAGCAGATCTACCAATCCTAATTTCTTTCAGAGGTCTCAACAAGATCACGACTCCTGGTGCATCTTCTATAGCTCCTGGCGTTTCCGATCTACACAACGCTAGGCACATGCTTGCTTTGGTGAGCTTTCGTTTACCAACATTGATAATTCCTTTTTTTTACTCGTTCGAGCCAGACTTTGGCTTGCCTTTTTTCCGATCTACTTCCGCTCTTTTCCTGAATATTCAATAAAGTATTGAAGTAGTGAATGTATATGACCTGCTGTCCTTTAGCCGTGACATTAATCATACCTTTAACCTTTGCTCCGTTACTCCTGTTGAGTTGTTAAAGAACCTGAGCAGACAACTCAAACCGAGTACTGTTTTGTTCATTATTGAATTTGAATTTTCAATTTCCTTTTCGCCCTCAATTGTTGCACACATCATGCACCGTGGTATATCCATTTCTCGAGCAGAAAAAATGGTATACTTTTAAGGTATGTGGTCTCGGAATGGGCGTAATGGCTGCTTTGTTTCTAACTATGAATGTGTTCGCTGAATTCGCTGGACCAGGAACAATTGGCCTACCGCGAGCTGTTAGAGTAAGTGGTTCCTTTGCGTCAAGCATTTTCATGCGTTGCACTTCTTAGCATTCCGCTCCACTTCATCACTACTGAAGTGTAACTTGTTTAGGAGAACAAACGTAACGAGTATTACGCTGGCCCATATCTTCCTCTTTACTATGCTCTGACAGGTTGCCTAGCTAGCTTGTTTGGAGTGGTGTGGACAATAATGGTAAGAACTGTGAGAAAAACTTCTTTCTTTGATATTAGATATGTATTCCCGCTGGCATTGTTTCGTTCAGAGCTGCCTTTCAATTTCTGTTACACTATTCCAATTTTTGTAAAGTCCCATGTTACTGGTGATTAGGAGCGGACAGCACCTGGACATCTTTCATAAAAGTATGAAGACACTATTGTCACATAGTTTAGAATTCGGAGCAAATTATCTACTGGTATTTACATATGTAGTGCAGTAAAGTACGGTGCACTAATCGGATTGGCGCTTGCAGCACTCGCATTACTAATTTCATAACTGTTATACTTCTTCCTAGTCAACAGAATCTCTCACTTTTGAATAATCTTCTTAGGAATGCTGAGCGAAAATTCGTTGCAAGTAGGGGCGTTCTCATTTTTCTGATCTTCCCAACCCTTTTGCACCGTATTAATCTGATCACCTATTTTCTTCATGACTGCCTGCTTTTTTCACTGAGAGAGTCTTTCATAGTCAATACTGTGACGGCTATTCCAGCATTGACATGCATTGTTTCTTCAGGGGGCGAAACGGAGGTTATGTAGCCATTTTTTGTTCTGCAACATAGTTTAGAAGTTTCGGGGCACTCTTTTCACTTTTGCTTGTAGTATTCCTGCTTCACACCTTTCTTATAGAGTTCCCGCAGTCAGTCGGAATACACGTTTTTCGAAGTGTCAGCTATAAGTGTTCCCATCCTGCCGCCTATGCCTACACCAAACGCTCCAGGTCCACTGGAACAGGAGTTATGAATTTCCGGTCGAATGCACACTTATCGACAAAAAAAANNAAAAAAAACGGACACGCTTAGTTTCCTTTTCTACTACTCACAGGGGAGAGTAAGTGAATGCTGGCCTTGATTGTAACCCACAGAGAGGATTAGTAGAAGAATTAAGTTGAGTTAATTCATTCTTGTGTTTCACTGGGGCAAGGGGATTCGCGGGATGGAGCACAACGGTCGATGCACTGTTTCGGCTGATGGCCAGTTGATCTTATCGTCAAGCTGTGAAAGTTTACGATGTATAGTACCTGGAAACTGCCAATAATACATAAATTTGCAAGCTTATATACTTGTGAATGTGAGCAACGCCTAGATGCTGTATCGCTAAAAGGCTGTGGTAGCACAATTAGGCTATGGGATGCAACGGTGCACTGCGCCAGAAGAGGTATCTGGGTCATCTACCTGATTGCACACTTTAGATACCGATCGAATATGCTTTAAGAACAAGCTATCAAAAGTATAACCTAAGTCAACTAGTTAGAGAAATAGTTGGACCAGTTGTGAACCCACAACACGAACCTTGTGAGTCACTAAAGAGTTCGACGCTCACAATCGAGTCTCGGAAAAGTTTGAAGCAATAACTCCGACAGCGTTGGTGAATCTGAGGTCACTGCAAAAATTGGCTTTCGAGCCAGTCACATTGCCCTCGCAACACGGCTATCTCGTTCTCGTTCCTTGCACGGAACAGGAATTCATTCGTCTACCCCTAGCGCAATAATTATTACTTATTATGGTAGTCGGCGTGGCGGAGGTGGTGTAGTGGCAAAAGGCGCACTATATCACACGCACGGTCAGGGGTTTCAATCCTNGATCGATGCCCGCCTAGGCCAACCAAGCCTTCCATCTCTCCGGGGTCGGTGAATTGGTACCAGACTCATCTGGGAGGATAAAAGCATGACTTGTACATCGGCTGGCCACCGCAGGTCATTGTATAGGCCGCATACGCACTCATTATTCCACTACCACTCTGAATGGTGGTCGAGTGCGGGGACGCATCCCTCAGACGGGATTGATTAACGACAAAAACTTTATCCTTTATCCTTTATAGTAGTAGGCAAGGCGACCTGTCAACGTGCCAACGTTTAGACTTTCAGCACGAGTCTTTTAATTACGGACATCTGGGCTTGGGTAAATGCATCTTTGCACCGGAGACCTTCGCATACCTTTTATGCTAGATGGGCTTTGCGAATGCATCTCGGCTTTCCTGGATGCCGTTTCATCGAAGCGTAGCAATTTAAACACCATCGATCATTTAGATGTGGCCGAGTTCGTAGGTTGGCGTGTTTTTTAGTTTGGATGTCCACGTTCAACTTGGTCTGACAGACGAGCAGTTTCCAGTAGCACCTCATGGAGGCGCGTACAACCATTGGATGTCACCAAAACAATGAATTCCAAGCATATACAGTTATATGGTCAACATTACACTATAGAGCGTTTCGAGTGATTTCATCCTACGTTAACTTTACCTAGGATTACACTTTAATTAATTTTGCGAAAAGCTTTTCTGTTTCGAAATAAAGATATGCTAGCCGAAATCCTGGGCTCCCTAAATGAGTTATCTACATAAAGCTGCGCCGCATTACAAAATGCACCTACGATTGAGAGCTCATCTCAGAAGCATTTCATACAAATCAAGCCATAAATTATGACTGTTCCTGATTCTATTTTCAGATTTGGGATTCTTGCCATAGAGCACGAAAGGGAAAACTATGGGCGCTTCCAGCATTTATTGCTACGTGCTCTCATTTCATGGTCAGCGGCATGGTGAGCATTTCGACAGTATAGTTTTTGTTACATGTATAGTTCATTGAGACTTCTAGAATAGAGATCTTTTGTTTTCATTCTGCCTTTCTTCACTGACTCTGATTCGTGGGCTGTTTGTTGTTTCTCTCACTAAATCTGCAGTTCTAAAATCATGATTTACTGCTTAAGCCAAACTTTATGGCCTTCTATCGAAGTAAATCCCCAATTTTTGTTGCTTTTGCTCTCCACTCACGTCGCCTATATTCGTTAGTCCTACAATTTTTCTATGTACCCTAATCACAATCTATTTCAAGCGCATATTTGTCTTTTTGCTTCCCCTCGCTTTCTTCCTTCTCGTGTAGGGGGGAAGGTGAATTCAATCCTTTCATCGACTTTGGGTTTTTGAATTCACTCCTAATCCCTTAAACACCCTTGTTATCACTACCAGACTTTTCCATCACCCTTTTTACCATTTTTTTATTGCATTGTAACTACAAAGCTCATAAAACTAGTGGGACAGATTTGGCTCGATTACATAGATGATGGTCAAAGGTGAATCTCAATCTCCAACCCGAGAGAAAAAGAGTAAAAAAATTTCCAAATACATGGTGTTTGGGGCGGAGGGTGTAGTGGCAAGTGGCACCCTTCGCACGCGCATAGTCACAGGTTCGTTCAAAAGGCCTTCCACCCCCAGGGGTCGTTTAACTCGTACCAAACACATCTAGGAGGATAAAAACACTGACTTGTACATTGGTTGGTCACCGCAAGTCATTGTAGGGGTCAACTACGCATTCCTACCCCACTATGATTCTGAATGGAAGTCGAATGCGTGGGCGTGTCCCTCAGACGCAACTGATTAACGCTTCAAGACTTTTTATCTGGTGTTCTGGTCTCTGTACTTTCCATCAATAGCTATTGCTGTAATATGTACTTTAGCAAGGTTGAGAAAGTCAGAATTTTTTCTTTGGTTACTCGCGAATTTGTTTACAAACGTATTTGACTGTATCAAATGTTAGCGCATCAAAGTCTGCAGCTTTGTTTCTTATAGCTATGCCTAATATTCAGAGCTGGTTCAATTCCGAAGGATATCAACCCTTCGTCCTCTGCGCACAGTTCGTTCTACTTATCGGTTGTATAATGTATTCTCAAATCATTATGGGCTCAACATTCGACTCTATTATTGAAGGTACGTCGTATTTGGGTGCTCCAATATGTTCTTCTAGTTCTAAGTTTTTTTCCCAATAAGTTTCGATCTTGCAGTCTTTTTTCGTGTGAAAGATCTAATGGCAAATTGCACGGCGAAATTCGGAGTGATTACAACGACTCGGGCGCCTATCACTGGGGTACAGGTTTCAAGTAGGTTTGATGAGTAGGGCCAGCTGATGCTACTTATCTACCCAACTTCAAACTTGTGCCCCAGTGATGGACGCCAGAGTCGTTCAAATCAGCGAATTTCGAATTGGGCGAATGCTCCGTCCTCGATATTTGGAAAAGTAGTCAGATGCTTGTGTCATTGGCGTACAGCTGGCTACCGTAGGCCAGAAATGTCTGAAATGCTTTACAATCGGCTTATGATCCCGCTATAAAAGGAGACCATCGATTATATTAATCTTCAAGTCCTGAATAGTTGCTGTTTCTTTCATCCAAATGTGTTGTTTGGAGCTCAAGTGTATTTCTATATTTCAGAGGAAACTGTTCTTTTATATAAGATTCTGCTCGGTTATTTAATATTAGTAGATCGTTCATATATCTATAATATATGGAATCAGTAGCTTATTTTTATTGAATCACTATTTTTTATAATTATGATTCATTATTGAAAGAGTGGGATCGGCCAAAAGAGGAACACCTTTTACCTGCTTATAGATGAAAATAAAAAATACAGAAGCTGTTAGATACTAAGTAATTGGAAAAATTAGGCAGTTCGTTAATCTTAAACCTCTAGCTTTCTGCTGTATTCTCCGGGTGAAAGCGCTGTTATTGATCTGAAGTCTTTATGCTTGCAGGAATTACTACTACTCTTCTGGACTGGATTACACTGAAATGGTTGCGGCAGAAGGTGTTCAAAAATGAGGGGCCGTTCTCTCCAGTGGAGGAGATAGAAGCAGACGAACGGAGGGAAGTGAGCACATGACCCTCTCTCATCCATTTTTGTTTCAGTGATCCATTGTGAATATCATGCCTATCGGAATTCCTTTTTTAGCTGTATACTGTTTTTACTCAACTGTTAAACGTAGTACTGTTTCCGATGCGAGTCTAACGCAAAAGTGTACAGTTTTATCACACTTTCTGCGCGAAACGGTTCTGTTAAGCTCTACCTGATTCTTAGTAGTACTTCCTATCTAACTCAAGATTAACTCCAGACGTTTTCGTTTGATAATAACTCTATGCGGAAAAGATTGAACGCTTTTCCCGTCAAAGTAGTAAATCCTCGGTGGCAAACTTATTAATATATTTAATCTATTTTCGAGTACTGTTACTGATCTCATCTATGACTTGCTTTCGTTTTCGATTGAATACTTTCCAGCTGTTTAATAGAATCTTGTTATTTATTATAATAAGTTGTGCAGACCTAATAAATATTCGTATTCGGGTAAAAAGAAGAGCCATAGGTTGCTGTTTGTGTGTGCCTGCCTCGAGTCAGCACGAACATGAATACCAAATTCAACAAAATGCGCCATTCAGCAATCATTCCGACTTCTGCATTCATCTTTCGATGGAACATTGAAATAAATGAGGGAAACTGGAATTTGGCCATTAAGGGTCACCGCATCATTTAACTTAACATATTCTTGTTCCCAAATCGAAGTTCAACCCGTCGTTGGTTGTCTTAGCCACAAGATTGTTAATAACTCTTTATTCACAGCTCATGTTTCGGCGGATTCGCCTTTTTCGGAGCCTATAACTCGAAATATTCTTGTGATTCCTGTTTTACCTTTTCGAATTACAAAAGAACATTCTAAGGGAGTAAGGGGAAGCGATGAAGCTGACCTGTAAACGACTGGAGCTATTTGTCGGCACCCTCAGCCCAAAGTTTCTTACCAGTCGACGCCCACGCAGGGCAAGGGTGACGGTTAGTGAGGAATTTTGGACTCAGGGTGACGACAATAGCTTCAGTGAATTCCAGGTCAGCTTCATCGCTTCCGCTTACTCCCCTTGGAATGTTCTTATAGAACTTGAAAAGGTTACCTAACAATCTCCGAAGAAGGCGAATCCGTAGAAACGTAAGCTGTGAATAAAGCGTTATTAACAATTTTGGAGGCTAAGACAGCCAACGACGAATTAGCTTTAACATGCCGGGAACCTTTGGTTTGAGGAGTCTTTCAACGCGCGATGCGCTAAGAAGGTGGCTCAAAGAGGGAAGAGCGTTACCTGGGTCAAGGTACGGTCTTGCTAGTCAATATGGCTGTCCTACTCTTTCTTTTCAACCAGTGAACAACTTGGGTAATGGCAGCATTGATTTGGAATCGGTTCTTTGGAATGTCCACCAGAATATATTGACGGTGCTAAATGGAAGCTTGGCTTGTTCTACCCCCGAAGATGTTGCTGACCTTTGAAGTTTTCGATTTTGGTTGAAACGGCGAACGGATTAGTCGAAAACAAATGGGATGCAATGAAAAGCAATATATGAGGACTTTTCAATTTCTCATATACATATAGCATATGTAGCGTGATTGAGCGCTCAGGCTTTCGGAACAGTGACNTGACGGGTTGTAGCTGGGCAACAAAGCTCCACCAAAAGAAGGCTTTGCTCTTTCAAATTGCCTCCTTGTTTTCAATTCAAGATATAAACTCATCTGAACTGAACTGAACGCCAATAGTTCATCAGCTAATCCTATGTCTTGGTTTGGTAAACCGAAAGCAATCAGCAGCTTAATGATTATGTAAAAGAGCCAAGCCTGTTCATATCCTTTACCAAAAGAAAACTGGTAAGATATGCACTTTGTTTAAAATTCTGGCGTAGCATTGTATGAGCCACCTTGTTAGTATACTCAGCAGTCCTGGCTTAGAAATGTGCTTCTAAACTGGCGGCGCTGGCAGAAAGTTAATCACCGCTGAATAGATTTCTGTTATTCCATGTATGTAGTCTAATGTTCGAACTGAGCATTTGGACGTGAGCCTTCCTTTTACTGCTGTCGAAATAAGCTTTCATTGACCTCTAAACCCATTTAACTTTTTTGGAAGTAGGCCAAGTAGTTGTATTCAACTTACGCACTATATTCCTCTCTCCTTCTGGGCTTAAATTGAGGAAGGAGCACACACCGTAATCCACCATCTAACCCGACGAATGAAGTCCGGCGGGTACTTATCGGTTGCGGCTAAATTCACTCACCGGAATTCAGATCGGCCCCTTTTTTTACATCGGCTACTGTGCGGAATCGAATGCCGTCTTTATTATTTGGAAAACAAACAAACAAACAAACATCGACGGAAACTCCTGCTTATTTGGAAGATGCAAGTTTCTTTTTAAAGAATCGGTCAAGTTCTACAGGCAATCTGCAAATGACCATCTCCCAGATCGACTCGCCCGATTGAGGTCAACTTCATTGAAATGTAAACAGGAAATGTAGCTAAGATGTCGAATAAAGACAAGAAAAAGCGCTTTCCCTGCGTCAGGAATTCCTTTACACAACTCTCACCTGTCAATAACACCCGAGATGGTAAATTAATCATAATCACAATAGATTCAATTCATCAGAGCTAGCTTGCAAAACTGCTGGCCTTACAACCAGCTCCCAAGCAGAATAAAGTGTCTTTACAGCCACACATTTCTCACATTTTCAAAATGCAGCCCCTACATTTCAGATTCTGAAGGGAGAAAGTATAATATATTGTGAGGTAGTAAAGGTTTGGGAGTTTCGTGTAACCATTCGAAAGGTCTCCCAATTAGCCACTCGGGAATTTATTTAAGGTTGGGAGACCTTGAAGACGGTGTGTTCATCAGACTTGTAAGTTGAAAGTGTTTCATGCCAGTGAGCATTTGGCAAGATAAGCTCGAAGCTAAAAGCAGGTTGAGCTCTTTAACTCGTGGAACCATCACTCTGTCACCCGCACGCAATCGAATACACAGAGCTTGTCCATACATCGTGGTGAACGGAAGGTTTGTTGTTTGGAGGCAAGCTGCGTAAACGGAGCTATTTATTCCTTTCTGGGAGTTTCTTGGTTGCATCGCTCCACGATTGGTAACCTGACTATACATTTCTACTGAAAGACTGAATCTGAACAGCAAAATGGCATTGTAGCAGACGACAGCAGGAGGTCCTAGATCAACGATTTACAGTTGCTCGAAGTCTTGTAAACACTGAAAAACTCTTGTGTTGCATAGGATACATAGAGTACAATTTTTCTAGGTTCACGCATAGTGTCCTCAAAGGGCAGAGTAGGGTTTTCCTGAGACCATAATTAGGGTAGAATTAAGATCCATATCGACTAGATCGAAACAGACAACAAATTCCACTGCGTAAACTGGTCTCGTTGTCGGCCAAAACACTAAACTTCCTCGTTGAAGGTAATGCTGACAATCTACGTAATGAATATACCTATGTTCGTGTTCCCGAACGCGACGTTGAATGGCACAGTGGTGAGCCAAAGAGCAGAAGACTCAACGACGTTCAATATCCAAGGAAATGAGGCTCTTCTAAGATCATAAACAACGGAGCGACTATGAAACGGTCATACCATACCACCTTTTGAAGTAGAGAACGAGAAACTAGCAAGGTCTTGAGAGAGCATTCAAACCGCTGGAGGTAGTCCTGCTGAGCGGATTGTTTCAGCATTAGGTCGTTTCCGCACCCTGGTTTAAAGCATGTTGAGCCAGAAGAGCCGTTTTGCAAACTTGTGCAACAGATCTGATTTTCTAAAGTTCCCATCACAATAGCGATTTCGGCCGGATAGGGTCTTATGGTGAAGGAAGCCAGTTTACCGTTCATAAGGTGCCCTCCAAAATGTTAGCAAAAGGTAGCCCACACTCCAAAAGTAACCAGGTCCAGCCTGGAGTGAAACATTCTCTCCTAGAATCTTGTACCTCACTAGTTTCCATCTTTGGATGGTCATCTGTCCATATTTGGGTAGTCAATTTGAGAAAGGTTATAAAATTCTTCCTTGTCTGAGTGAACGAAAAGCTTGGGCAGTCATAAACAGTTCGGAACGTTTGCACGACCGCATTCCTCTGCTGAGTCATTCAGGATTGTACGGCAGAGATTGCGGAGGATTCGGAGTAGTTTCAACGCGGATCTTGTTCTGTGCGAATTTCTCTTCACACTTACGCTCCTGATCATCAACTACGATAGAGAATACAAGTAGGCGGGGTCCCTGAGAGCGTATAAAAGATTGACCAGTCTAAGACAAAGTCACAGCCATGAAGGACCATCTAGTAGACGATGCCGAGTCAGAGATGTTACGATTCAGGAGGTAATCCTCTTCCTTCTTTTTTTTTTCTGTTTCTACAATTTGCCTTCTATTTACGCTTGTTTTTGTCAGATCGGCTTTTTCGGCTGTTACGATTTC